ACACACACACAAACATGAACACACAAACACACACACACACACACATGCACACACAAACACACACACACATGCATACACACATAGAAAGAGAGACAGACAGACACACAGACAGACAGACAGATGGACAGACCGACAAACAGACAGAGAGAAAGAGAGAAAGAGAGAGTCAGACAGACAGACAGACAGACAGACAGGAGACAGAGAGAGAAACGAAACTTTCCGCGTTAAAGTACTTCTTACTCAAACCTGTCCAAAAACATTCCAATCTCTACTCACTCTGCACGTTCAGGTTATAGTTGAGACTGTCCTCTCCGGCCGGGTTTTGAACCACGCACATGTACCGTCCAGTGTCAGCCACCTGGGCCCTGTTCAGAACTAAGTCAACGCCTTCAGCCCTGGTCTCGGCAACACCTGGCCTCAGCTCTACCGGCTGACCATCCTTGTACCACGTGATGTCTGGTCTGGGAACGCCTGAAGTAGGGCAGCTGAGCACCACGGAGCTGTTGATGAGGACCTTTGGCTGGAGGTTCTGCCCGCTTCTTTCGATTTGGGGAGGGACTGGAAGAAGAGATGGGGAAATATGTTTATGGTTCACTTCTTTCTATAGAAAGGGGTTGACAACGGAGGTCGCTATTTGTGTTCATGGCCCGTTCCTTTGTATTTTAGGAGGGGCTGGAAGAGAAGATAGTGATATGTGTTCAAGGTTCGCTTCTTTCTATTTTGGGAAGGATTGAAAGAGAAGATCGGGGTATGCGTTTATGGTCTGCTTCTGTCTATTTTGGGAGGGAATGGAAGAAGAGACACGATAATGTGTTGATGGTTCGCTTCTTTCTATTTTGGGAAGGACTGAAAGAGAAGATCGGGACACGCGTTTATGATTCGTTTTTTTCCTTAGAGACGGATTGAAAATGAAGGTAGTTATTTGGGTTCATGGCTCTTTCGTATGTATTTTGGGAGGGCCTGCAAGAGAAGATGGGGAAATGTGTTTATGGTCTGCTTCTATCTGTTCAGGAAGGGAATGGAACAGATGAGAATAGTCCGTTATTTTCTATTTTGGAAGGGGGTGGAAGAGAATAATACGGGGAACTGTTTCCATTGTTCTGACCGCCTCTTTGATGAAATAATATGTTCATGCTTCTCTTCTTTCAATAATTTCGGGGATAGATTGAAAATGGACGATATTGACATAATATGTGCTCAAGGCTCGCTTCTTTCTTTTTCGTGAGGGTTGGAAAATCATCAACAAATCTACGTCACTATATATCTTCTCACCCAGAACCTGGAGGTCAAAGCCGACCTCGTCGTCTCCGGCCCTGTTGTTGGCTGCGCATGTGTAGCGACCTTTGTCCTTGACCTGTGCCGAGTAGACCCGGATCTGACGACCCCCGGCCAGGATCTCGTAGCGGGGATGGATGGTGGCGTCCAGGAGGACTCCGTTTCTGTACCTGGTGGGGAGAATAATTATTATGATCAAGGAGGGTATAAAACTGAGACGTCATAAAGAAAAGAACAAAACAGCCTCATCTCCCTACTTAGTTCAACCACACACATATCCTGTCATCGCTGCAATAAATATCTCTGGGTGAAGATCGGTCTGATCATTCCTCAAAAGAATGATGCAAAGTCAATGTCTTCTTCGCCAGCCAGCAAAGAACGAGTTTCAAATTTTTTTAAATGTCAAAATCTGAAGGCAGAGAGGCATTTAACAAGTTGGACAATCTACACGTACTCCCTTTATGTCTTTCGTCTATTTAAAACTGTGTCATGCATATTACGTTAGTCAGTATCAGTATCGATGGATCAGCTGAAGAAGTATGAGATAGGATGTGGGAGGACAGAGGAAAGGTGAGGATTCGGGTGTGGAGGGTGGGGTACCAGAAGATATTTTTGTCTTAGTAGAGGTTTTATGGCGCTAACAACTGCATAAGGTCATATGAGCGCTAGAAGATTAGAGGAGTTACAAGAGAGTAACAAACATAAAAAAGAAGGATGGGAGATAAGGACGATATATGTTTGATAGGGAAAAAGAAGCAAACCACACCAGCGCACCCGCCAACCATCCACATACCAGAAGATAAGCAGGGCGACGAATGACGAAAAGTGGACGACGACAGTTGGTTTTTTTTAAAAGGGGAGGGGGGGAGGTTAAATACATTTTTTTAATTAAAAAGAACAATAATTGAAAACACCGTTTGTCGCTAAAACATGACATACTACATTATGTTTCTGTAGCATTGTCTTTGAGAAACGAGAAGGGATAGACGGGAGAGAACACAGAGAAAATGCACGCGTACGCACGCACACACACACACACA